GCTCACTGGCTGAGCGAGGCGCGGGAGCAACGCCGAGGGTTGCAATCCCGTTGCCGGTCCCTGGTCCGGTACGGGGGCAACACTGAGGGTTGCGATCCGTTGCCGGACACGGAAAAAGACAAAAGACAAAAAAAAAAAAAAAAAAAAAAAATGATTATGGCACACACACACACAAATACTCAGACGTTCATGCACACTCAGGATCCCCTCAGGACTAAGGCTGTGTTTCTTTTCTCCTGGGAACATCTTGTCCAGACCTTAAAACTGGGGTGTGGCGGGCAAGGAGTACTCGCCCTCTTCCCCCAGTTGGGGGTCCCTGGGTCCCCCAGCTGGAAACCCCAGTCCCCCTGCCTCAGCCCCAGGCTCCCATCAGCTGATGCGTCTGGCAGACCTTGGCGGCAGTCTCCGCCCCTCCTGCTGGCAGCCCCGTCCTGGCAGGGATCCCCAGCCCAGCAACGGCTCCAGTCATCCCACTGCACAGACACTCTCACACACGCAGACCCCATGGCTGGCTCGATGCTCAACCACTCCTGGCCCGCTTTCTCCAAGCTGTGGCTGAAGCGGTGGGCCTTCAAGAGAGGTAAGGAGCAGGCAGTGACCAGGCACCGTCCCCCCAGGCGAGGACCGCTGGACAGCCTGCCCACCATTCCCCCTCAAGTTTTTCCTTGGCTGGGGCACAGGCTGCCTGAGCTGGCCCCAGATTCCCTGACCCCTGATTTCCCGGGGCCCCCGTGGGCCATCATGGATTTAGGAGCTCCTTCTTGTCCTGGCTTGGCCAGAAACTTGTCTCAGGAGGTCGATTTGCAGAAGGAGCACCCACTCTCCCACCACAGATGCTGAGCTCCCTAGGGGCAGCCTGGTGACTTCCCGGAGGTCCTTGATGCCACTGGTTCCTGGACCAGATGCAGGATAAGAGGCTCAGGGTGGCAGCAAAATGGGGAGATTTGAGGCTCTCGGGCAGAAGAGACACCCCCCCAAACACACACATACATACACGCACATTGGCTCGTACCCACCCCCTCAGGGTCCCAGGGCCTCAGTTTACCTCTGTGGGGGCTGGAGAGGCCTTTGTGTTATGTCCCCCAAGGCCTGGGTAAGCTATATTTGCAAAGAGACACTTCTCCTTAAATCTCAGGAGGAGTTTATCCCTTGAAGATAACCAGATGGTGTCTGGGTCCACAGGGTAGGGTGGGGGTGAGGGACAGTGTGGGACAGGGGTGTAGGAGCTGGCCATGTATCCCTTGCCTCCTGGGTTATCTCGTCACCTGCATGAGACTTTGTTCAAGGTAGCAATGAGTTTCCATGAAGGGGGGGCCTGTATGACAATTCATTAGCTCGTTCATTCCACAAATTGTCCTTGAAAGTTTATTGTATACCCGGCATCGTGCTGGGGTCAAGGTATAGATGGGAGTATCAGGGGACCCAAAGGCTGGGGAGAGAGAGGGTGGCCTGGAAATGGAGATGCCATAGAAGAAAGAGTAGTCCTAATAATGGAAGTTGCTGCCAGTTGTTGAGCCCTTGTGCATTGGGACTCAGAGAGGTTGAGTGACTTGCTCAAGGTCACACAGCAAGTATGTGCCAGAGAAGCCAGGATCTGAAGCCAGTTTTGTCTGAAACCACCTTTGTGGTGTGTTCTGACCAGTGGACAAAGCTGCTACTGTGGGCAGCTGGATTGCCTGGGGAGGGTTTTTAAATCCATCAGTGGATGGCAATCCTGGAGAACTTGTGCATCCGCCGTGTATCAACAAGGTGCCCGCCTGGGACTCAGGTCCCGTGAAAGGCTGCTCCACTCCTACCCATCCAGACCACCCTGTGTCTCTGTCCAGGCAGGTCGAGGCTGTGATTTACAGGCTGACAGGTGGGGGAGTGAGCTGTGGGAACTGACGGTGGCTCTTACACCCTTTTATGGCTGATGCTGCGGGGTCTGGTGGTGGAGGAGTCTGCCTGGGACCTGAATCCGGGCTGATTGGCAGTTCCCTACAGAGAAGCATGGGGGTGGAGAGCAGGATCGTCCCCAGCGGAGCCCTTTCCCTGCTCAGGCCCCATGTCCCTCTGGCTTAACTCCCTGGGGAGAGCAACTCCTTAACAGCGTCCCTTCAGGTTCTGTCCCTGGAGAGCAAGGAAGAATGGCCTTTGTGTACCCTTCTTAAGCTCTGTAATTGGTTGTTTGGGTACCTAGAAGGATTTCCTGGGGAAATGATAGGGTTGGGTTGGGGAGAGCCCTGGGAGAGGAGGACTGAGACCTTTAGTGAAGGTCCCTGCCCTCCCACCGCCCCTTCCTTCGCCTGCTCCATTTACCCATTCTGCCCATGTTTTTCCATTCATCCCCCGATCTAATGTAAGTGCATCTGTAATGAGTGCATTCTGTGTCTCTCCTTGGTTTCCTTCCTGTCTGGCTTCTCTTCCACAATTCTGTTCCCCTTCGTTCTACATCCCCCGTCACACGCACATACGCACACAGACACACTGATCCCCTCAGAATGCCTCCCCCTGAGTGTAATGCATCCCTGCCTCTGGACACTATCCATCCAACTAGCTACCCATTTATTCATCCAACCAGCCGACCATCCCCCCATCCCCCCAGCTAGCCAGCCAACCAAATATCCGTCCGTTCATTTATCTAACTATCTAACCGTCCAGTCATCCAGCCAGCCAGCCAGCCATTTATTTATCCATCCAGCCATTTATCCATCCATGCATCCAACCATCCATTGAACCAGTCTTCAACTATCCATCCATCCATCCATCCATTTATTCATTTATCTATCCATCTGTCCAACCATCCATTCATCTGTCCACCCATACTTCCATCTGTCCATTCATCAACAAACTTATGGGCACCGATTTTGTGCCCAACCCAACACAGCACAGGATAGCCTGGCGGTTGTGAGCACTTGTTTTGAATTTGGAATACCTGGCTTCAAATCCTAGCTCTGCCTTGCTCGTACCAGCCTGGTGTGACCTAGGTAAAGTCAGTGCCCCTCTCTAAGCCTCAGTTTCCTCTTCTATAAAGTGAGGAATCCAAGGTTTGGGGGAGGATAGAAGAAGGAAAAGTAAATGACAGTTTTAGCACTAGGCCAGACATGTAGGAAGTGATCGATACGCTTAAGATTGTACTACTTGGGGCTTGGGGGTGTGACAGTGGGTCAGATACAGTCCCTGCCCTCTCATATGTCATGCTCTAGGGCAGGAGTTGGCAAACCTTTCTGTAAAGGGCTAGCGAGGAAGTGTCTTTGGCTTTGCAGTCCGTATGGTCTCTAATGAAACTACTGAACTCTGCTGCTGTAGAGCGACAGCGGCCATAGACAGTAACTATATGGATGGGCATGGCTGTGTGCCAATAAAACTTTATTTACGAAATCAGGCAGTGTGGAGAATTTGGCCCATGGGTCATAGTTTGCAGATCCCTGGTTTAGGAAAGAGAAAGTAAAGTAATTACAGTGCAACGAGGTGTGGATAAAGAGTGCAGAGCAATTCAAAGTCGTCTGATTAAACTGGCTGCAGAGACTCAGAGAGCCCTTAGCTGCCAGGCAGGAAGGGTGGGAAAGAGTTGTGGGAACATCACAGAGACACACAGGAGAATGGTGAGTTGGAGGCTCATCTGTGTGAGGGGGAGCTTGGAGGTCAGGCTGGAAAGGGCTCTGAATGTTGTTCTAAGGGGACTGGAGTCTATATGGTGGGGAGAGTGGAAGGGGAGTGACCCTCAGAGTGTCATGCCAGGAAGACACACCAGCTTCAGGACAGAAGACGAATTAGAGGGAAGAAACTGGTGGCTGAGGGTCAGTAACAATTGTGGGTGGCAAATGACAGGGCTTGGTCTATGGCACCAGGATTGGGACTTGGCCTATGACATCAGCATGGGGGCTCAGTCTATGATACCAGGATAGGGGCTCAATCTGTGACATCAAGATTGGGACTAAGTCTATAAAACCAGATTAAGACTCAGTCTGTGACATGGGGATTGGGGGTGTCTATGACACCAGCATTGTGGCTCAGTCTATAACACTATGTCAAGACTCAGCTATGAGGGCCGGCCCGGTGGCGCACTGCTAACAGTGCACCGCTTGGGAGCGCGGCAGCGCTCCCGCCGAGGGTTCGGGTCCCACATACAGACCGGTTCCTGCTCACTGGCTGAGCGAGGTGCGGGCACAACACCAAGGGTTGTGATCCGTTGCAGGTCACAAAAAAAGACAAAAAGGAAAAAAAAAAAAAAAAGACTCAGCTATGACACCAGGATTAGGGCTCCATCTATGACACTGACAGTTGTAGTTGTGTAGGGAGAGAAATAATAGGGGCTGAAATTAAGACAGCAGCAGCATAAAGAAGAGGAAATGGAGTAGAGAAATGTCACGGAGGTGAAATTGACAGGGCTCATTGTCCTGATGGGTAGGGAAGAGGCGAGTTTGGTCTCCAGGTTTCTGGCCTGCTCACTGGGAGGACAGTGCAGTCACACTGATATGGGGATGCAGGAGGAAGATGGAAAATGATGGGTTTGGTCTTGACAGCTTGAGGTAGGGGTGTGGGTGGGAATGTCAGGCAGCAATGACCAGAGGTCACTGGAGACAAAAATATGGAGCTCAAGAGAGTCTGTCACCAAAATCAGAGCTCTGTGTGTGACATCAGGGTCAGGACTCAGTCTGTGACCAGGGTCAGGGTTCCATGTGTGATCAAAATTGGGATTCAGCTTGTGGCACTGGGATGGGAGATCAGACTATGACAAAGGGATTAGGGCTCAGTGTATGACACCAGGATGGGGGCTCAGTATATGACACCAGGATCAGGGCTCAGTCTATGACACAAAGATTGTGGGTCAAACTGTGAAACTAGGATCAGTGTTGAGTCCATCATCAGGTCAAGCCCAGCCTGTTCTTGGGTCAGAAGCTTTCGTATAAAGACTAAACAGTCCTGGCCTTTCACCTTTGGCCTTTGAACCCCAGACCCTCAGGGTTCACAGATACAGGGCCTGAGTTTCTGCCTTTGACCTCTGCAGGCTGTGGGAGGCCTCAGGTGTCCGCAAAGGCCCCACCCAGAGGAGCAGACAAAGCCTGCAACCTCTCCTGCTGCCTCTAGTGAACTTGAGGGATGGGAAGGTCCCTCTCCTCCCAAGCTCCCATCAGCCTCTAGGACCCATGGCCACATCTGGCTTTCCTCTTCCTTCACAGCCTGCTTGTTTTTTTCCAACATTTCCCTGAGTCATAGATGCTTCTTTGGCTTCAGGATGGAGAAGAAAGGAGATGCAAGGCTTAACGAGGACACAGACCAGAGTCCCTCCTACCAGCCTGGAAGGGTGGCTGGGAAAGTGGTGATGGTGGAAACAGTGGCATTGTCATGGCACTGTATATCCATTCATCTGTTGATGCAAGGTGGCATCAGAGATGCATTTACCATAAAGTGAATAGAGATGAAGCCTCAGGCCCAGATGCACCTGCCCCATCCCAAGCTCTGCAAACAGCCCCAGTGATTTTTTTTGGTAACATCTTTATAAAGATATAATTTACATACCACACAATTCACCCATTTCTCTCTTTTTTTCAATCATTATACATGTTTATGGGGTACAGTTTGTTGTTTCAACGCATGCATGTATCATAACGATCCGATCAGAATAGTTAGTATATCTATCACCTAAACATGTATCATTTCTTTGTGGTTATATCATTCAAGATCCTCTTTTCTGGTATCTTGAAATATACAATAAATATTATTAGCTGTTGTCACCCTAGAGCACCAGAACTTACTCCTCCCATCTAACTGTAACTGTGCAACTTTGCACCTGCCCACCAGCCTTTCCCCATCAACCCTCTCCCCTCCCTTTCCCTGTCTCTGGTAAACACTATACTGTCTCTCTTTTATTTCCTTTCTCTTTTTATTTTTCTTAATTGATCCATAATAATCATATATAGTTATGGAGTACAAAATTGGGTATTCATACTGAATTCACCCATTTAGAGTATACAATTTGATGGGTTTTAGTACATTCACAGAGTTGGGCAACCATTTCTAACATCAACTTTAGAACATTTTCATTACCCCAAAAAGAAATCCATATCCTTTAGCTGTCACCCCACAATCCTCCATTTCCCACCAGCCTCAGGCCACCACTAATCTACTTTCTATCTCTATAGATTCACCTGTTCTGAACATTTCCTGTAAATGGAATTATATAATAGGTGGTCTTTTCTGACTGGCTGCTTTGACTTAACGTGTTCCCAAGGGTCATCCGTGTGGTAGCGTGTCTAAGTGCTCCACTCCTTTTCATGGCTGTGTGATATCCCACCACGTGACAGACTACCATGTGTTTATCCATTCGTCTGTTGATGGACACTTGGGCTGTTCCTACCTTTTGGCTACTGGAAATAATGCTGCTGTGAATAATTGCTTGAAAGTTTTTTGTGTGGACCTATGTTTTCCATTCTCGTGGTTAACTATCTGGGAGGGAAATTGCTGAATATGCTAAGACCATGCTTAACTTTTTGAGAAACTGCCAGACTGTTTCCCAATCTTCTTGGGTGTTTTTTGTTTTGGGGGGATGTTTTCATATACATGCACGTGCTCAAGTAACTCTTTGCATTTATCTGTTTCTGAAGTGTGTTTATTTCTGCCTTGGCTATTTTCTGCTGTTCTTGGTACCTCCCAAAGGCCCTAGCAATTTTGTATTCTTTTGCTCAGTGAAGGCCCCCCCACATTGTATAAGCTTTAGGACCCCAAAACTTGGGGCAGTGTTTGTACGTGCACAGCTGAGAGGAGAGGGAATGTGAAGTGGGTACAGGCAGCCCCGTCCCTGTCCCTCTCGCTCTGCTCGCCCACTCTGGGATAGCTAGCAGCAATGGTTACAGGCAGGGTGACTGCCAAATATATCTCCCAACCTGCACCCTTTGGAGAGCGAGACCCCGAGGGTACTGTCAATAATTACCCTGGCTCAGCAGCACGAACTAGGACTCTCCCCAGAGAAGTGTGACATGGGGTCACCTGGCCATAGGGAACCCGACTATAGACTGAACAGGGGCCTAACTTGGCACTTTCCTAAGGTGTCTGCCATCCCACTCCTCACCCCCGCCTCTGCCCACCTTGAGCAGTCACTGCTCTTACTATGAACTGGTCAGTCCTTACATGTATCCCTAACGCCAGTCTATTCTCTCTCCTCCCCCTTCACCCACCTCCCTAAGCCACCTCCAGACACTCCATCCATTCATTCATCCATCTCCCATCCATCTATCCATCCATCCATCCATCCACCCCCCCGTCCACCCATGCTTCCTTCCATCCATCCATCTTTCTGTTTATCCATTCATCCTTCAAGACACCCGTCCCTCCATGTATTTATCCTCCCTGGTTTCAGCAGGGCCTGGGATTTGTTTGGGAGGTGGGATGGGTTGAATGAGGGAGGAGGAAAAGAGAGACCAGAAATCAAGGCACCAGAATGCCCACTCAAGAGAGACATGAGGGCCTGTGGAGGGGGGTGGGCAGGGATTCTTGGAGGAAGTGAGGTGAGGTCTTCACACAGAGGGTGTTAGGGCAGGAATGGTTGGTGAGGGGGTCAGCTCAGGCAGCAGGTCCTGCAGACAAGAGCAAGACACAGAGGCAGATCCTGGGAAACATTAGGGGCTGGGCCAAGAGATTTGGCCTTCCTCCTGCAGGTGGTGAGGAGTCCCCATGGAAACTCATATCAGCAGGGGCTGATGTGCTCTGGCTGCAGGGTAGAGGCTGGGGGACAGAGAAGGGGACTCCCACTCCTCCAACAGAAAAGGGCTCAGTCCAAGACCTGGGATCAAGCCAGGACACCCTGTTGACCTAGAGGGCTAGGAAGGTGGCCAACAATCACCAAATACCCGGGATTAATGCTTGATGCACTGTGGGCCCCTTGATCCTCACCAAGGCCCTGGGTGGTGGGCATTGTCACACCCACCTCCCAGGTGAAGACATGAGGCTCACAGAGGTGCCTTCCCCAAACCTGCACAACCAGTAGCAGCAGGTCCTAGGAGGAACAGCTTTGTTTTCTCCTCTATACTGTGCCACCTGGAGGTCCCCAAAACTCTGGGGCCTTTGGGACTCGAAGGTTAATAGGGAGATGAGGATATGGGGAGAAGAAGAAATAGCCTGAAGTTCCACCATTAAAGACTCTCCTGCAAAAGTGGTTATCAGGCACCCACATTTAGTCCACGGACCTATTAGCACCATCTATCAAATGAGACAGACATAACAAATCAATATCATCCACAAGTCAGCTTGGATCCACTGCTGATGCTTCTGGAAATGGTGTTCTGGGAAGAATTCTGAGGACACATGGCTCAGCAAGGAAGAGCCTCCAGATCGAGTACAACCATCTGCATAGGCTCGGGATGGGGAAGAGGTGGCGCGTATGTTGGCTTCAAGATTGTTGAGACCCCATTTTATAGATGAGAAAACCGAGGTCCAGGGGCAGACACAGGACTCGGGTCCTCGCCTCCTCGGCCCTCCCGGCGTAGCCCTGACACCTTGTCCCTCCTTTCTCAACAGGCTCTGAGCCCAAGCCATGTGTCCAGCCCGTTGACTCTGGAGCTGCACCGTTGGCCACCAAGAGCAGCAGCGGACCCTGGAGGCCTGAGGACCCAGACTTCTTCTGCACCATGGAGGATGAGCAGGCAGGTTTCTGATGGCTGAGAGGTGGTGGCCGCAGAGGCGGAAAGTCCGCCTTGTTTAGCACCGGCGTGTTTACCAGGCACTTTACATGCGGTATCTCAGGGAACCTCATCAAAACTGGGGCAAAGTCACTTGCCAAGTGCAGATGAGGGTTTTCTGAGATCACACAGTTGTCCCTGAGAACAGTAGTTATTATCCCGTGTTACAGATGAGGAAACTGGAATTCTTTCTGGAATAAGAAGAGGGAGGGAAGGAGGATGATGGATGGATGGATGGAGAACCGGACAGAAGGGTGGATAGAAGGATGGATGGATGAGGAGAAGCGTGGGGGTGGATGGAAGGAAGGAAGGAGGAAGGGAAGGAAAGAAGGGTGCGTGGATAAGTGAGTGAGTAGAAAATAGGTGGATGGATGGACAGATGACAGATGGATAGAAGGAAGGAAGGAAAAAGGAGACTGATTAAAGCCAAATGCAGCCTGGAAAGGTGGGCTGACTTGCCCAAGTCCCCGTAGTGGCAGAGTCAGGATTCAAACCCAGTCTGTCTCCACAGCCTGTCTCCTCACCCTCTACTCTCATTATGCTTTCTCTTAGCACTTGTCTCAGGAGCCTGTGCAGGAGGCCAGGGCCCAGGCTCCAGCCTTGCAGGGAAGACCCTGAGGGTTTGAGGCCCCCGGAGAGAGTGCAGGCTTGGTTAATTTCAAGCCCTGTGGTGTGGGGCTGGGGTCTTGGCAAAGGTCCTTGTTACAGGCCCAGCCTGCCTCTGGAAAGGTCCCTCTGGGGGGGGGCGACAAGGCATCTAGGAGGGTCATCCTGAAAGGTCAGGGGCTGAACAGAGGTCTTGCCACCATAGCTCAGTCCCAGCTCTGTCGGGGACAGAGACGGCCAAGTGGTGCGTGTTGGGGCTCCAGGAAGCAGATGCAGGTGGACTGGGCTGCTATGGCCAAGACTTTACACCCCCACATCAGCCAGTCATTGCAGGTGGGCTGCCCAGGAAGGGATGTGGCTCCCCTGCAGGGGGCTGACACCTGACACTCCCCCTTTCCTACCCCCCAATCTGGGGGTTTGGGTGGCATTTCACAATACCCACTCAGCTAAGGAAGGAGGATCTGTTACCAGGCATTCCACATGTCCACTGCTGTCATTTTATAGAAGAAGACACTGAGACCCAAGCAGGGAAAGAATTGGTCCAGGTGTCATGGAGGGTCTGGGGTAAACAATTGTAGGACTAGGGCTGGGGTTTAGTTCTGAGCCCTGCCAGGGAGCTGGACCTCTTGGAACAGGAACCATGAGTCAATAAGATGGTAATGGAGGGAAGGTGGTCCCTGGGGAAGCGGGGAGCTCCGGTGAGGCTCTGCCCTTCAGCGAATCTGCCCCCTCTTCCTGTGTCCCTGTCATGGTCATCCACTCGGTCACCAGAGACAGACACCTGGGCACTGTCCTTGCGCCCTCTGTCTCCCACCAGCCACCAAGTTCTGTGAACACTGACCCCTGAAGAGCCCTCAGTTCTGCCCATGACTCTCCCTCCCTTGGACACAGACTAGGGGAGGCCACAATCATGGCTTACCCAGGTGAGATCACAACGCACAGGGACCCTCACTGGCCCACCAGCCTTCATCCCAGACCTGTCCAAGCCCAACCCTGCTCTGCAACTTGAATAACCTTTCTAAACACAAATCATAGCTGCCAGCCCCCAGCCCACCCCCACCTTGGTCTCCCTACCACCGCTGGTGGAAACTTCGAGATGAAATCTCTGCTTTGGCCTGCCACTCCTGCCAATCTGGCCCCTGTTTCCCACCCTCCACATCTCCAGCCATATGGAACTTTTGCCAGTTGCTAGAGGACACCGTGCGCTCTCTGTCCCACAGATTTCTGGACGTCTTGTTCTGTTGTCAACTGGAATGTTCTCATCTGCAGTGCCTGCCTAGCCAACTCCGACTCATTCCCCCAGTCTCCGTTCACTGTCACTTCCTCCAGGAAGCCCCCCTGATACTCTGCAGACAGGGCCAGCTGTCCCCCCTCAGTTCTTCCCCAGCTCACTGCCCAGAACCTTCTGTCATACTTGATCACGATGTCTGGGTTTAATCGTCTGTCTCCTTCCGTTAGCTGCATGAGGACAGAGGATCTTGTGATTCCATCTGGGGCTGTCCTGGACTTGCCCAGAGAAAGGGCCCTGACTCCTGAAATATGAAAACCTGAGATACAAAAGCAACAACAATAGCTTCTTCCATTGACCGAGGGCTTGCCATGGGCGAGGCCCGGACATCATCTCATTTTACCTGCGTCACAATCCTGCAAGAGGGCAGCAATATGCCCATTCGAGAGATGAAAAAACTGAGGCTTGGAGAAGTTTAGGAACTCACCCAAGGTCACACTAAGCTAATAAAAGACATAGCGGGGATGCAAACCTTCACTCAGGTCTGTCTCCCCAGCAGCCATTTAAGAACCATCTGTCCTATTATTTGTTTCCTGTTTTGTTGAATCGAGTCACTATTTTACATGACAACATGGGACCAGAGAAACAATATGCTTGAAGTAGCTTGTGTGTCATCTTTTTCCAACACACAACAAGATAAATATATATATATATATTTTTTTTAAGATAAATATTTATTGGGCTGGCCAGACAGCTCAGTTGGTTAGAGCATGGTGTTGGTAACACCAAGGTCAAGGGTTCAGATCCCCATACTGGCCAGCTGCCCAAAAACGAAAAAAAAAGTTTATCCATGGAGCTGTCTAAAACTGCACACTACACGCCCTCCTGAAGAATGGGGAATCCTGGGATGTTTCACCTCTGGTTCTGACTTGGGGGAGCCCATCCCCAAAGGCTCCCCAGGGTCTAGGGAGCAGGAGCCTGGATTTATTGCACCTTCTCTGGGGTGTCAGGGCCAGCATACTGTTTAGCCAGATGCCTGGAAAGGTCCCCCTGGGGCTGCCTCCTGTGCTTTCCCACCCAGGAAATTTTGGAGGAAATGTATAGGTTCCCAAGCAAAGGATGAGGCTCCTTCCCCCACCTCCCTCAGGGTACCTGCTGCTGGGGAGCTGGGACAGCCTCTGCTGCAGCTGCCCACCACCCCCGCCACCCCCAGACCTGGCCTGGCTCCCACCTCTGCCTCCTATGAGGGAGGCCAGATGTGGGAGAAGAAGAGAGGCCCAGCCCAGACCCAGAGGCTGTCCTGATGTGTTTATATTGACGGGAGGATGAAAACCAGAGACACAAGAAAACCTTTGGGGGCGGTGGCAGAAGAGACAGGAGCCAGCGGGAGGTTGTCCAGGCACTGGGGATAGGAATGGAGTGATCTGGGGGTATGGGGAGGTTCACAGGAGCACAGGAAGGCCAGCCAGAGCCAGAGTGGAGGGCAGTTTGAAAGTGACCAGAGAAGAGGGACCCTGGCATTCAAAGGGCAGAGAAGGAAGGGGAGACAGAGAAGGAGCATCCAGGGAGGTGCAGGGAAACAAGGACAGGGCTGTGAAGGGGACATTCAGGAAGAAGGCGGACTGTGGAAAACAGTATGGCAGGTGCTCAAAACGCTAAGTACAGGGTTACCATGTAGCCCAACGATTCCGCTTCTGGTATACACCCCAAAGACCTAAAAGCAGGGACTCAGGTTATGTGCACACCCGTATACACAGCAGCCTCATTCACAACAGCCAAAAGGTGGAACCAGCCCAAGCGTCCATCAGTTCGTGAATGATTAAACACCGTGCTGTCTACCCATAAATGGAATATGACTCAGCCTTAAAAAGGACATCCTGACACGTGCTACAGTGTGGATGAACCTTGAGGACATTGTGCTCAGTGAAATAAGCCAGTCACACAAGGACACTGTGTGATTCCACTCATAGGGGGTCCCTAGAATCGTCAGGTCCACAAAGACAGAAAGTAGAATGGCGGGTGCCGGGGGCTGGGGAGTGAGTGTTTCATGGGGACAGAGATTCAGTTCGGGAAGATGAGAAAGTTCTGGAGATGATGGTGGTGATGATTCCACAGCAATGTCAATGTGCTTAATGCCACAGAACTGTGCGCTTAAAAATGGTTAAGAAGGTAAATTTTATGTTATGTATATTTTACCACAATAAAAAGAAGGGAGAGGACAAATCTGTAGAGAGGTCAGCATGGCTGAGGTCAAGGGAAAGGGCAAACTCTGCGTAGCTCCGCCTGCCTTAGCCCAGGACAGCCCCCTGCCTCCTGCCGCTCAAGATCCGAAGCTGACCAAGGGCCCGGCTGTCGGCTGATGGGTACTTTCCCCTTTCCAATTGGAAGCATCTCTGGAATCCTCCGCACCAAGCTTCACGGGGGTCTCCCTGTTCCTCCCTTACCTGATAAAGACTGGCCATGCCTGGCCGAATTATCCGGGGGTAGAGTTGCCAGACTGAGCACATCAAATGACGAGATACCCAGTTAGATGTGAATTTCAAACATTGCAATCTTTGGGATATACTTACACTGAGAAAATATTTGTTCTTTATCTGAAATTCAAATTTGACTGGGTGTCCTGTATTTTCTCCGGCAATGCTATCGTGGGGGCTTCCTATAAAATTCATGAAAGGTGCCAGGTCCCCTAGCAGCGTGCTTCAGGCCACCTGTTGGGAGAGTCCATCAAGCACTGTCTAAGATCAAATAGGTTCCTGAGGCCACATGTCAGCACTGGCTTCACATGGAGAAATGGGACATGCCCACCCACCCACCTACCCACCAAATCCTGTCTGAGGACAGTCCTAACAAAGGCCTGAAAAGGGACAGTCCCCATCCTGCAAATCCTTACCAGCCTCGAGGAGTCAGGAGAGGAGCCTGGAGGGCATGACCACGCTGGGTTTTGAAGGATGCGAAGGAGTTTGCCAGGCAGATTCTGGATGGGCCGTGTGGGAGAAGAGTGTTTCCAAGGAGAGGAAAGGCAGGTGCCCTGATTGGAGACAATGGCAAATAGAAGGACTGGGAAGAGGAGATAGACGGGAAAGACAGAGGAAGCAGAGGGCCAACGAATAGAGAAATGAACAGAACAAGAAAGAAAGAGCCAGAGACAGACCTCGGTCTCAGTCCGGCTCTGCCATTTATGGGCCACTGAGTCCTTTTGCCTCTGTGAGCCTCAGTCTGCTGATCTGGAAAGTGGGATAACAATGCCCCCTGGTGGAGCTGCTGTGGGATCAGGGATAAGGCGCGTTTGATGCCGGGCGGCGATGTCCTGGTGCTCTGGTGGCTACTGTGCGTCATGTCTACATCTGTGTGTCTTTGGTGTCCAGTGGTGCCTGGCACATTGCCGCCTCCTGGGTAGGTGGGAGAGGAGGTTGCAGAGGGGCCAGAGGCAGGTGGCGGCAGACCTCGGAGTGTTTTGTGTTGTGCTGAGGAGCTTGGGTTTCTACATGTTGGGGAGGAGAAGGTATTGAAGGGGACAGACAAGGTCAGACATTCCAAGAATCCACTCTGGGAGGAGGTACCAGGGCCAGGACTAGGGGAAGGAGGGTAAAGCGAGCAGCACAGGAGCCAGATGCAATACTGTCATTATTTAAAATGTGAATCACATGTTCATCACAGATCTCCTTGCCTTTTTTTGTTTGTTTGCTGGCAGCTGGTATGAGGATCCAAACCCTTGACCTGGGTGTCATAACACCATGCTGTAACCAGCTGAGCTAACCGGCCAGCCTTCCTTGCATTACTTTTGAGTTTTGAAAAATACTGCACTACAATACTACTTACCTTGGGGCTGGCCAGTTAGCTCAGTGGGCTAGAGCGTGATGTTGCAACACCAAGGTCAAGGGTTTGCATCTCCATACCAGCCAGCTGCCAAAAATAAATAAATAAAATATTTTATCTTGATGATTGAGTTGTTCAGCATCTGCTTAAATTTCTTACCCAAGGCAAGTGCCTCACCCTAGTCCTGACCTGAGACGGAGACTTTAGAGGCCAGGAGTCCTGCGGGGAGATGCTCCAAGCAGCCCAGAAACAATATGGGAGCCCTGACACTTCCTAAAATTGCACCATTAGTGTCAAGGATGACTTATTTCCCTGCAGCACTTTTACAACCTGTGTTTTCAGATGTAATTTTTCTGGAACCTTAAAACAAGCTGGTGAGTGGCCGGGGCAGAGGGGATTATGCCCATTTTGTAAGACAATCAGACAGAAACTTGGTGAGGTGAGGTGCTGGGCCAAGGCTAGGAAGTAGCAGGATTGGGCATGGAAGCCCAGACTTCCTGCACCTCTTGTGGGATGAGGCCTTGAAGGCTCAGGTTAGACAGAGTGTTGAGGGGACCACCCCTCATTCTGTCCCACCAGCTGTGAGAAGGGCGCTGAGCCCAGGTTGGATGGGAAGGGGACAGGCAGGGTCTGGGTGTTGGGGGCTGGGGGCCTCGTGGCCAGGAGACCCCAGGCTCTGCTGCCCTCTGTCAATGCCTTGTTCTCCCCACTGGCCTACAGGATGATTTCTCAGGGCGGTTCAGCAAGAGCACGGAGGACCTTAGCCTGGACTTGGGGGCCCTTCAGGGCAGCGTGTATCTCCAGGACCTGGACTTTGAGGCCCCTTCCCACAGCCAGCCTGGGGGCGCCAAGGACAGTGGCCCCCCTAGCAAAGAAGCTGGAGGAGATTCGCCCTTCTCTAACTCAGCAGGGTCCCAGGGCCTGCCACGGAGGCGCAGCTGGGAAAGGTCGCGGAGCTGTTCAGAGAGCTGGAGGAGGTCAGTCTTCCACCACTGCCCAACTTCCACCATACACCCCCTGGACAGGATGGGGGTCCGGGAGGCCAGAGCCAGGTCCCCGGACACACTGCCCCCTGCATCTGCAGTGTCTAGCTCTAGGGCCTCCAGGGGTGTCTATGCTGTCAGAGACAGTCCTAAATACTCCTTTCGACACACATGTACATTCATGCACAAGAGGGTGTGCAAACCCACGTGCACACTGATTGAGCGTGCATGCACAAACCCAAACTGAAGAGTTCACACTCACACCGCAGGCACACGCGAACCCAAATGCGCACGCTGGATGTCCACACCCATGCTCAACCCACACACTCCCACGCTCACCATCGGACCCATGCATAGAAGCTGACACACATGATTTGCACACATAATGCACAAAGCCGCAGATGCACCTGTGATCAGAACACAAATGTGTGCGGCTCCACACATCTCAGAGGGGCAGCACCGAGCAATAGCTAAAACACCCCCCACCTGTCTCCCTCAACCCCTCTCAAGTCACCTCAAATAGAAATCCAGTCTGGGCAAAAAATGGTGGGTCTGCAACACAAAACTAGCTTCAGTAAATCTAACCAGATATCCCCCTTCTCCCCTTCCTGCTGATACTGACCCCTCTGATATTAGGAGGTCTGGACCCTTCTCTGTGGCATGCTTACCCCTCCCTGTCCTGGAAGGGCCGCCTACAGGTTTCCTCAAGCCCCCGCATGCCTGGGGTGGTGGCCAGGTGGACAAGACCCTCTGAAGCCCCAATACCCTCCCTTCTTCCACCAGACTCAGCCTGGATGCCTCAGCTATGGATGAGGGACCCTGTCTCCCTCGGACACTGGCTAGCCTTGCTCTGAACCTGCCGGGAGAGGGGCTAAAGACTTGGACCCAAGGGTGTCCATCTGGGGATGGGACCCCTGCAGAGCACCCAGGCAAGGTGGGTGTAACCTGCAGCCGCTGGAAGCCAGTGCTGTGGGTGGGAGGGAGAGCCCTACTCACAGCTGGAGGGACTCCACTATTATGGCAGGAGGAGGGGATGGAGGGGTTGTCCATGTTGTAGCCCACGACTGGGGTGTCTCTGAGTCCTGATATTCCAGCCCAGGCCTGAGGGGCCTTACATGGGGTGGACATCCATGGCAGGAAGTCCTGGGCCATAACTGTGGCCCATGGGCTGGGGGATGGTGGGGTGGGGGGTCTCCTCATCCTGCAGCTCCAGCCAGGCTTCCAGGATCTTCCCTGGGGTGTAGCTCACAGCTGGAAGGAAGCTGTGTCTGTGGCCTGTGGCTGGGGCATCTTTGACCATGACCATGACCATTGAGGAGACTCCTGGCCATGGCTGGAGGCTGTGGCTCCAAGACCCACGGCTCCAACCTATAGCTCCTACGACTGCAGTCCGTGGCTGAGGAGGGTGTGGCTGTACTCATGTCCCGTGGCTAGCGGGGGAGCCCCTGACTGTGTCTGGAGGCTGGGGCTGGGGTGAGTGTATCCCCAGGTTCTGTGGATGCGGCCCTAGCCATGGCTGGGGACCCTCCCCCTGGGGGAGCCTCCCTCCCTCTGCTTAGCAAGATGCTTCTTCCCTGCAGGAAACCGACAAGCCCGAGAAAAGAGTGAGGTCCCGGTCAGTCCCCCTGTCCTTTGATGAGATCAACTCCCTGAAAATCGCTCCGACTCTGGAAGTGCCCAGTCCGCCTGTTCAAGGTAGCCCAGCCTGGGCATCTTCCCCATTCAAACCAAGTTGGCGATGAGGGGAGGAGGGAATGGGGGGTCCCGCTGGAGTGTCCCCTGGATGGGGCCCCAGCTGAGTCCCAGGGAAGAAAAAGGGGGCTTAGTTTCCCCTAGACAGGAACTGAGCAGAATGCAGGGGTCTTTTGGGGCTCAAAGAGGGGAAGGGACCTCCAGCATCCAACCCTCCCCCTCTCCTTGGGGACCTGGTGCCCAAACTCTATCCTAAGAGCTTGCACCTCTCCAGTGTCAGTCAAGCCTGCAGTCTAAACCCAAATCTGCCACTTTCTGGCAAGTATCAGAGCCTCGTGCCTTCCTCTCTAAGAAGAGGACAACATGTGTATCCCCTTAAGGCCACTTGGAGCATTCACTGGGCTCCCACGTGTAAAGTGCTTAGCATATCGTCAGCGCTCATGAGATGCTGGTGACACCTCCAGGCCTGGCTCTCCTCTCCAAGAGTGGCAAGCCCCATCTGAATGGTCTGTAGTTCTGCAGGGGCCCGGGGTGGGCCAGTGCAGGGCTGGTTCTGCCCCAGAGCCCCTGACACCTGTGTCCCCTGGGGTGGGGAATTCTTGCAGGCCTGGAGCCACCGGTGCTGGAGTGCATGGAAAAAGACCATGTGGAGCCGGACCATGTGTGAGTGCCTGCCCCATGGTGGGGGAGGGACCCCCAGTGGACTGGCTGGGGTCAAGGCTGGGTGGGGGAGGAGGCGTGCAGAGATGTGGTGTTGACCGGGGCCAGCCACCATCCTGCCAGTCCCCCATAACCTCAGTGTTCTCTCCCACACCATCCTTCTCCCAGAGGAGGGGCCCAAGGCCCCTGGGAAGTTTCTTGATGTGGCATTGGGTGACAGGTTGGGTCTCCCCATTACGGTCTCCATTAGGACCCAGGGCTGAGTCAGGCAATCACAGCTTGTCTTGGGGAATGTGTCTGTAACCTGGGGCAACTGTGGGCTCTTTTGATCCCACCCCACCCCACAGGCTGATTGTCCAGCAGGTGCTTCAAGAACTTCGGCAGTACCATGGGTAAGTGGGAAGGGGGACAGGAGAGAGGGAACAGGTATGGGGGACCAATGTGGGGGACAAGTGTAGGGGACAGGTTAGAAAGAAGTGTGGGGAACACAAGTTTGGGGGAACAGGTGTTGGGGGGACAGGTGTGGAGGGACAGGCACGGGAGACAAGTATAGAGAAAACAGGGAGCAAAGAGAGAAAAGTGGGAACCTATCATAATGTCCTCATATTCAAGCCCACAATGTTAAGGACAGGTGGGCTCTTAGACCCACACCTGGTGTGCACCTGTGCACTGAAGCCCTGGGGGGAGGGGCAGGAGCAGGGGCGAACTGGGGGCGGGGGGCTGCTGATCCATATGTCTGTCCCCTCTGATCCTGCAGGGCCCGTCAAAGGGCTCGTATGTCAGCCAGCCCTGGAGGAGCCCACTCGAATCTCACCTGGTTTGAGTTCCTGTCCGAGTGAGTACACAGAGCCGCTGCAGGTGGGAGCTGCAGGTGGGGGCAGCCCTGGATTGAAACAAGTGTTTCCTGGTGGCCCTCTGTGCCAGGCTCCCCATGCCGGGGCCAGGAGTTGGGGCCCCCTTGTATACCCTGGGAGGACAGAGGAAGACTTCCTGGAGGAGGTGGCAGCTTGAGCTGGGTTCTGACGGAATAGCAGGAGTTTGCCAATATGTGCAGATGGGGATAGAGGAAAGGAAACAGAACTGCAAGGCTCAGGGGTCAGGGTGGGGCTGGGAGGAGAGAAAAGGGAGAGGTCAGCAGAGGACAGACCACCTCACGAAGCTAAGGAGCATGGACTTTATCCTAGAGAACAGTGGGAGCTTGGGCATAATCAGCTCTGGTGGCTGAGGATGGGGACCACAGACAGGGCTGGGGTGGGCGGCTGACTCCCTTCCTCCCTCCCTCTCTCACTCTTTCATTCACTCAGCAAACATTTACGGATATTTGCAAAGTTCCAAGAGCCACGTGGACGGTGGGGCAGAGGTGCAGAGTGGAGGAATGGATTCTCCCTCCAGGCAATAGATTGTCAGGGCTGATGTATTGGTCACTGACTTAATAAATATTTATTAAATGAGCATGTACTGGCAGTCCAGGGGAGGTGTGGCCCCAGATGGAGTGTTGGGGAGAGAGACAGGATGTAACAATGGGCAGGATTTAAATGCCCGTTAGACAGGGGGTGGGGAGTCGGTGGTGTGAATTAAAGGGAAGAATCAGAGAGGGACTGAGCCAAGATTTCCAGCCCAGGCTTGCCAGCTTGAGACAATGTTGCTTTCCCCTCTGCAAACCCAGCTCCCAGGACTCCTGGAACTTGTAAAGGTTTGTTGAGTGACTGAGTGACGGAGGGATGGAGGGAATCCGGGACCCCAGAAGGGGTAAGGCGGGACCCAGCGGCCACAGGGAGATGGGTTCCAGTGGATTCCAGGAGCGCCCCATAGGGTTGCCTCAGAAAGGCCCAGGGCCCCCTCCTCATGGGCCTTCCTGTCCCCTAGGAGCGAGGACGGTGCCGGCAAGAACGAAAAGATTGACAGGAGCACCGGTGTGAAGCGTAGGCTGAGCTATCTCCGCAGCAGAGTCACCAGGCAGAAGGAGAAGGTCAGGGGGCTGCGACAAGGGGGCTGGGCCACCACAGCCTCCCTCTTCTGTCCCCGGCCCACCAAGTTGCCCCTGGCCCAGGACAAAAGAGGGCCAGCCCCTGCAGAGGGAATCCTAAGGCTCATCTTTGTCCCCTACAGGGGAAGAGCCCAGTGAATCTAAAGGACAAAGGTCAGGATGCTCGAGAGAAGCGGGAGTGTACCAACGGTCACCTTCTGGTGCAAGGAACCTTCTCCAGTCACTCCAGCTGCCCCCTGTGTGGCAAACCCTTCCTGAGCTCCGGTAAGCCCAGTGGCCCAAATCATCCCCCCAATGGTGGCCACTTTCTCTTCTTGACTTCTTTTCCATTGCTCCTGTGGCATCCCGTGCACAGGGCAGACCTCGGTGACTCCCTGGAGAGAACCAGGGATCGGTCCCTGAGGTGCAGGGGTTCTCTGGTTAACTCGTGACTGGCAAACTTCCCTTTGAGTCTCAGCTTTGGCCGTGGCAAGAATCCTCCTGCAAGATCTGGACTTAGGCAATGTACGAGTGTTAGTTTGCGAGCGCTGCTGTGACACGGTACCATGTACCGGGTGGCTGGAACATCAAGAACATAGTGCCTCTTGGTTCTGGAGGCTGGAAGTCCAAGATCAAGGTGTCAGCAGGGCCCACCTCCCTCTGAAGGCACTAGGAATGGATCCGTTTCAGCCCTCTCTCCTCGTTTCTGGTAGTTCCTCAGCCCGTGACAGCCTAACTCCAGTCTTCACGTGACATGTCTGTGTCCCAATTTCCCTTTTCTATAAGGACGCCAGTCATATTGTCTTAGGAGACCACCCTACTCCAGTATGACCTCATCTTAACTAATTACATCTGCATCAACGCTGTTTCCAAATAAGGTCACGTTCTGAAGTGGGGGGTTGGGAGTGGGACTGTAATATATGAATTTGTGGGGGACGCACAATTCAACCCATAAGAGGCAGTTTCCCACCTCCCAGGGCTCTTGATGGTCATGGGGTGGGGGTGGCAAGGGCTTTTGCTCAGGAAAGTGTACTGGGTTCAAGAGGCCCCAGAAGGAGATGATTCTGGTTATTGCTGGGATTTAGAAATTTGCCTTTTGGAAAACGAGCCTCCCTTGGAAAGGAATGAAGAGTTAGTGGCAGTGATTTTATGTTAGAAAAGATGCGTGTGCAGTTTGTAGCGAGAAGCCAGACTGCAGATTCTGGCAGGCGAGACTCAAGCTAGTTCAAGGTTCCTGGACCTCATGAGCACTATTGACACTGGGGCCAAGTAATTCTTCATCGTGGGGGGCTGTCCTGTGCATTGTAGGACGTTGAGCAGCATCACATCCCCAGACTCTACCCACTAGATGCCAGTAGCAATGGCCCCCCTCCACTTGTGACAACCAAAAATGTTCTTAGACATGGCCAAAAGCCCCTGGCAGGCAGAATTGCCCCTGGTGAGAATTACTGGGCTAATGACAAGGCGAACAGGTCCTACAGTGAACCTAGACACACAGTGAGAGCAGCATTTCACCCACCCTTGTGACCTGAGCCTCAGGTTTGCATTCTTTGGCTGTGCCTGCACCAGTTGGTGGCATTTTCCATTTTCCTTGTTCCTCCCTCTTCCCAGAGTGCCATTTTGCCAGCTGTGGAGCTATAGGTGTCCCACTGCCAAAGGTGTCCCCCTAAGCTTTTTCTCCATTGGGCGATCTCCCACCAGCTTTGTGTCACATGAGCTGTCCCCAGCCGAGGCTGGCAGGGGCTTTACAAAGTCCTCAGTGCACTGACGACTTCAGTGTTTTGGAGCTGTTCATTTTAGCAGCAGGTGGCTTCCTGTTTCTCCTGGTGTCCTGTTCCCTTTGGCAGAGGCGGAGGTTTGCTGGATCTCAACTAGGCATCTGATTCAAAAGGCAGGTGAAAGGTTGGCAGAAGGAAGGTGAAGCAAGAGTTCCAAAGCTGACTGCACAGAGCAGGTGCCAGAAGCCTGCTCCCAGGGCACTTGCTTGAATAGCCCCAGTGTGAGCTGAGCCTCTTACTTCACACCAACAATTCTGGTTCTTTATTACAGCTCATTCGTTTCTGTTTCTGCTTTTCCTTTGCTTCTCAGAAAAAATCCTGAAGTCTTTAAACTCCGTTTTTGTATTGTCAAAGGACTTGTGTGTCCATGTGGTCCTCAAACCTGCAGCATTGTCTTCACCTGGGAACTTAGAAACACCAAACCCCGGGCAGGCCAGTGAGCTCAGCTGGTTAGAGCGTGGTGCTGATAACACCAAGGTCCAGGGTTTGATTCCTGTACTGGCCAGCCACCTCAAAGAAAAGAAAGAAAAGCCAAATTTCAGGCCCCACCCAGAGGGACTGAAACAGAATCTGCATGTTAACAAGATCCCCAAGTGATTCATATGACATTTGAATTTGCCTGTTGCTCTAAGGTGGGCTTCTCCATGTCAATGCTATTGACACGTGGAGCCAGATCATCCCTTGTCACGGAGGCCCATCCTGTGCATTGTAGGATGTTGGGTGGCATCTCTGGCCTTTACACCCACTCGATGCTAATAACAACTCCTTCTCCCCCTAGTTGTGACAACAAAAAATGTCTTGACATTATCAAATGCCTCTAAAGGCAAAATCATCCCCAATTGGGAACCGCTGCTCCAAGGAACCCTTCCCATTCAGACATGTTTTCAGCCGAGTCCTCTTAAATACTGCTGGTGTCCCACTGTCAGGGGCATTGATATAACTTGGTCAGTCTGTGCTACCACCACCCCCTGCCCACCCCATGAGCAGAATGAGGTCTGAATCACAGCCTCAAATGGGAGAGCTTGTCTCCTTGGGTTTGCTCCAGAGCTCAGGAGCTGATCACATGGAAATCCCTGTGTGTGGTTCCTGCAGACCCTGAGACCCAGTTAGTCCTGGAGAAGAGGAATTTAAGAGGGATCCCCTGATGGCAGAACAGTCAAAAGCGGCCATCTGATTCTCTGTCATTCAGCTTTCTGTCTGGGGCTTTATTCTGGGATGCTTAGCTTCTCATCTTAACTTTGGCAAGCCTGTAACCATCTGTTATCAAAATTATTAGTCCCGGGCCGGCCCGGTGGCGCACTGGAGAGTGTGCCACTTGGGAGCGCGGCGGCGCTCCCGCTGGGGGTTCGGATCCCATGTGGAGACCGGTTCCTGCTCACTGGCTGGGCGTGGTGCAGGCGCAACACTGAGGGTTGCGATCCCGTTACCGGTCAGTAAAAAAGACAAAAAGGAAAAAAAAAATTATTAGTCCCGGGCCGGCCCGGTGGCGCACTGGAGAGTGTGCCACTTGGGAGCGCGGCGGCGCTCCCGCTGGGGGTTCGGATCCCATGTGGAGACCGGTTCCTGCTCACTGGCTGGGCGTGGTGCAGGCGCAACACTGAGGGTTGCGATCCCGTTACCGGTCAGTAAAAAAGACAAAAAGGAAAAAAAAAATTATTAGTCCCTAGAATGGGCCCTAACATACAGTAGGAGCTCAGTAAATAATTGCTGAATAAATGAATGAATGATGATTTAATGAGCATCTACTATGTGCTAGGTGCTTTATGTCATTTAATCTGAGCATCAACTCTGCGTAGGAGGTCTTATTAGCCCCATTCATGTATTCAAAAATATGTATTGAGCACCCACTGAATACCTGGCAATGTTCGAGGCATGGGGAGTTTTAGCCACGAACAGAAAAAAATTTCCACCTTCAGAAAGCTCAGCACCTAGTGAATGGAGGCACGTGATAAATGGAAAACATGAGGCTGACAAGAAGTGCTATGAAGAAACATGAAACAGGGAAAGGCGACGGAAAGGCGACAGAGAGTGGCAGAGAGTTTACCCACTTCGGCGCTACTGATCCTCGGGGCCGGATCATTCTCCATCGTGAGGGTCTGCCCTGCATGCATTGGACGATGCTGAGCAGCATCTCTGGCCTCCACCCACTTGATGCCTGCAGTGCCTCCATCTGTGATGACCAAGTTGCCAAATGTCCCCTGGTGAGGGGGTGGGGTGGGGACACAGTCACCCCCAGGTGAGGACCACTGCTCTCCATCGGGTGGCCAGGGAAGGCCTCTCTGAAGAGGTGATGTTGGAATGGAGAGACAGAGGAGGTGAGAAAAGAGCCCTGCAGATATGCACGGAAGAGCATTCCAGGTGGTAGATGCAAAAGCCCTGAGGCAGGAATGTGAAGCTAGAAGAGTTCTGAGGTAATTTGCCCCAAGTCACATAAACATGCCCCACCTGAACTATTGCTCAGAGGACCTGGGCACTTCTCACCCAATATCTGGTCAGGCCTTCTGCAAATCCAGCCACCGCTGTGGCTCCTCCCTGGGCAGCTGGGCTTCAGTGGCTGCTCTGTGAGCGGGGTACTTCCCACCACTTGCCTGGGATCCTTTCTCTACTGAGGGTGCTGCTAAGGCTATGACCACATCCCCTGCGGGAATGAGCTGGATAGAGCCTCTAGCATCCCTAGATGAGATTTCAGACCCCCTGAAGTTGCATGCCAAATCTGCCATGTCTCTGCATTTTTCTGGTTGGTTTCCAACCAACCTTCAAATGGAGCATGTGACCTCCAGAAAAGTTCAGCAACAAGGAGCTAATTCAGGTGTCACAAACTGCAGCCCGCAGGCCAAATCCTGCCCACCACCTGTTTTGTTTTGTTTGGTTTGGTTTTTTAGTATGGCTGCAAGCTAAGCATTTTTGAAAAAAAATATTTTTAAATGGTTGAAAACACATATTTTGTGACACACAGACATTATATGAAACATGTATTTCAGAGTCTGTAAGTAAGGTTTTGTTGGAGGAGAGCCCCCAACATTTATGTATCATCTGTGGCTGATTTCACGCTATCAGAGCAGAGTTGAATAATTTGCAGCATGGCCCGCAAAGTTGAAAATATTTGTTGTAGGGCTCTTTACAGAAAAATTTTGCCAACTTCTGAGCTAGGTTATCGGGCAGCAATCAAGGCACATCCAGGAGAGTGGCTCGCCATATCCTGCAGATTAATAAACCCCTCATATACACAGCCTTGAGAAATGAGGATTTCAGCAGTGACTAATTTTCTGAATGTCACTTTGCAATCACAGAAGACTTTGCACAAATAAGAAAAATGGGTGACATCACTCTACTGAGCACTTGCTATATTCTAAACACCAGAAGTGCTTTAAACAGACTTCCTCATTCACCTTCACAACGACTCTGGTAGGTACTACCTCTTATTTTCCTCAGATGAGGAAACTGAGGCCCATAGAAGTTAAATTCTTGCCTAAGTCAGGATTCTAACTCAGAGCCTAAGCACCTGACCACCACATCACGCCATTTGATTTTTCAAAAATACACACTTTTAATTTTAGGCTTATAGAAAAGTGCAAAGAAGGGCCGAGCCCGTGGTGCACTCGGGAGAGTGCAGCGCTGGGAGCGCGGCAGCGCTGGGAGCGTGGCAGTGCTCCCGCCACGGGTTCGGATCCTATATAGGGATGACCGGTGCGCTCACTGGCTGAGCGCGGTGCGGCCGGTCTCAAAAAAGGACAAAAAAAAAAAAAAAGTGCAAAGAAAACAGAGTCCCCTTAAACCTTTCACCCAGCTTTCCCGCATGTTAATACCTTACATGACCATGGTACATTTGTCACAACTCAAGAACCAACATCATTTCAATGCTATTAACTAAACTCCAGACTTTTTTCAGATTTCACTAGTTTTTTGGTGGTTTTTTTGTTTGTTTGTTTGTTTTTGTTTTCTTCATTAGGGTTTTTCACTAGGGTTTTCTCTCAGGATCCAATTCCAGATAGTCCATTACCTTTAATCATTCTGTCTCCCTGTCTCTCTGGTCTGTAAGGGTTTCTCTGTCTTTCCTTATTGTTCATGGCCCTGTGAGTCTTAAGAAATACTAGCCAGGTATCTGATAAAAAATGCCCCCAGTTTGGATTTGTCTGATGCTTTCTCTTAATTAGACGGGAGTTATGGTTTTCTGGGACCTTCTTGTCTCATCACATCAGGGGGTTCATGTTATCCACCTACATCCCTGGCGATGTTAACTGTAACCACCTGGTTAAGGTAACATGTGCCGGGTTACCGTTTTTTCCCTTTCTCTACCCTACTCTTTGGAAGACAGTCATGACACCCAGCCTTACTCTCAGGGTGGTTAGAATTAAGCTCTCCCTCTGGGAGACATCATTTGATTTTCAGGACAACTCTTTGAGATCAAGGAAAATTTGAGTTTGTATAAAAGACATGACATGGGTGGCACTTAACACGGTGCCTTGTACATTCCTGGACAATGGTATCATGTATCATCATTTCTGTGTGTTGTTGCTGTCTAAGGCCTTTCAGCCAATAAGAGGCAAATATAGCATTTAAGTCACAGACCCTAACCCTGTGCTCTGACCAGGCCCCCTTCCGTACCTGTGTCAGAAGGCATGTAGGGACAGAAAACCTGTGTCTCATTTTCAACAGGCTAAAAGCAGGCACCTCCCAGGTATAACTTGCCATAGGCCTACCTGCCATTAGGTATTCAAAGCCAGGCAGTACCATCTGTCCAGTTGAGGGCCCAGTAAATTAAACAGAACAGACAATGAGTCACACTCCAGGTAATCAGGGAAGGTGGGTCTCTAGGGCAAAGCCAGGACGCTTTCCTAGAGACCAGCTTGTTGATCAAACACCATTCCAGGTAGACCTGTTCCTGGCCTTGACCTTTGAGACTCTTCATGGTCTGTCCCCGCCTACCCCTCCACCCTTCTCTCCCGCTACTCAGCCACCCCACACTCCTTGAAGCCTCGTGACTGCTCACGCACATCACCTGGGCCTTGCTCATTTGCTGCTGTTTCTCGAATTCCCTCCGCCACGTAACTCTTACTCATCCCTTAAGACAAAGGATAGCCCATCTTCCCAAGGAAGCCTGAATTAGGCTGTATGAGCGTCTGTCTCTTAAGCTAGTTGCTCTCAGCCGAGGACCATTTTGCCTCGAAGGGGGACATTCAGCAATGTCTGGAGGCATTTTTGTCAGAATGGGGGAGCTGCTGACACCTAGTGGGTAGAGGCCGGGATGCTTCTCGACACCGTCCAATGCACAGGAGCTCCCCCTCCCACCACCACTAACACCAGAGAGAATAATCCAGCCCCAACTGTCAACAGTGCTGAGACTGAGAAATCCTGCCCTAGACATAAGCCTCCTGTGTCTCTTTAGCTCTTAGCAGACTCCTTGGTCCATGATAAGGACTCCATGAATGCAAAATGGTTGGATGGATAAAAGAAAGACGAGAGATACCTCTCCGTCCTGGCAGCCTCTTTCAGAAAGTTACTTTCTCCATTTAGGGGAGAACTGTATCAACCTGAAGGTTTCTATAACCAAGGTGGCTATAGAAATGAGGCTCATGCCACTCTTTCTGCCTAAAATCGTCAATGGCTCTCCATTGTCTTTAGAATCAAGTCCAAAAGCCACAGCAATTCAGGGAAGGAACATTTACTCATTCATTGAGCCCTCCAAAATACCTGTGTCAGGGCTTCTGACCTCAATTGAGGTGAGGTGTCTGATGAAATACGTCTTTGCATTTCTGGAACCTCCAATTCCCTGGATATGTTTTCTGTCTTGACCATGAAGACTGGACTTAAACTGAAGGCTAGTCACTTGGGTACCCCATTCCCCAGTTTCTGAACTGAGGGCTCTCGATGACATAATTGTGCGTGTTTTGAAAGGACTTTGGTTTGGGGAGATCTTCTTGAATTGGTTGACAAGCCTGGACCTTGGGTGAGACTGCTCAGCTCCACTCCTGGGGACCTAGATTGGACAAGCAACCTCTGGGCTGGAGTGTCTAATGGCACCTAAAGGGGTGCTGGTGCAGGGGGAGCATCTGGCACATCTACAGCAGTCAAATAGCACCTGGAGGGGGGAGTGTCTGGCATGTTTCAGACTCTAAACACCTGTTTGGAGGTATCTGACAGCATCTGTATTGATGGTATCCAGTATGTGTTTTGGGGTATCTGAAAGCTCCCATATAGAGTCTTTGATATGTCTCTAGGAGTTTGAAAGCCTATTGGGGGTATCTGATGGGTCCTGGATGAAGGTGTCTGGTATTTATGGGATATTTGACATGTTATTTTCAGACATCGCATGTTAGTTTTGTAGTACCTGATGGAGCTAGGTGGGGTGCCTGACATATTTTGGGATGCCTGAAACCCTGTTTTGGGTATCTGATGGCATCTGCCTGGGTGTCTGATATATGTTTGGGGTATCTGGTGGCACCTATGTTGGGGTGTCTGAGACCACTTAAGAGGTATATGACTAATTTTTCCCAGACCAGCCTTTCTGTAGTCTCTGCTGTCCCTTCTTCCCAGGCGACAGACCCCACCCTCTCCATTTCTTGGATCCTCCCGCCTCAGACTCTCCACCACCAGATGCGCCCCTCTTAGTTACCTACAACCCCACTGTCTACCCCGGGATTTCCCTCCCCAGACCCGCTAATCATCCAGGCCCTCACTGACCACACAAAACGCCCTCCCAACGCCACTGGTCTCCTCTCAGGGTCCCCCAATCTCAATGTTCCCTCTAGGCGCCCCCTTAACCCCACCGATACCCCGGGCCTCCGCTGACACCCTCCCTCCAAAACGCCTGCCAATCCCACTGTCCCCCTCCCCAGGACTCCACCTCCTCAGCCCTGCTAATCACCCAGGCCTCCGTCGACCCCACGAAACGCCTGTCCCCTCCCCTGACCCCACAACCCCCAGCCCCGGCGATACGCAGGCCTCTGTTGACCCCACCTAAAAAACGCCGCCCAACCCCATTGGCCCGCCTCTCAGGGGTCGTCCTCACTCTCACCACTAGGGCCCTCCCCCTTCAGTCCCCACGGCCCCGACTCGGCGGAGCCCACCACGCCCACACCCGCCGTTCAAGGATCAGCCGGATTCAGGGTACCAGGAGCAGGGAACGACCCCGCCTCGAGGCCACGCCCCTTCCCGGCCACGCCCTCTGACC